CAAAATTAAATGTTATACCTCAATTTAATATCCATTAAAGTATCCATAATCTTTTCTTTTCCTTGATAGTGCATTTTAGCAATGTTTATGTACTTCTATGCTGTTTTAATGAACTTATATATAATTATATTTCTTGTAAATATTGATAAGTCTTATCAGCACTACTCTGTCAGCCTTCTTTTTTTACTTTGATGTCAAATTTAAAAAAAATAAATCTGAACTTAGTAAGGAGAGACTTGTATTCACATGGATTATTTCAAGAAGTTAGGGAAAGAAGTATTACAGTAGGAAAAGTGCTTTGCCCATAAGCTCTAAAGGCATCTTGGAAGTTGCGGAGCTGTTCATTTATGAAGAGGAGTAAAGAACGTTAGAAAGAGCCATATGCGGAGATGTGGAATGAAAGGATGGCATGATCGGATAGCAGGTCACGGTATACTCTGCCCTGAGCCCAGCTTGTTTTCAGGAGGAACTGTATGCTGACTCAGGTTTAGGATGGGCCAAAGTTCAGGGGCCTGGAGGAAGGAGAAAAGTTCAACCAGTTAGGTTAACAAGCATTTTGCTCCGGTTGATCAGTGGGGGTGGGCAGCTTGGATAATCATTAATAAGACAAAGAAAGGGACATTTGGAGGGTCTGTGTTTGACCTTGTCATAGGTAAACGGGAGCATCCATGAGTCTTATCTAAGTCCTATGGGGAATGGTAGTGGATCTTTACAGTAAACTTTATGAAACACAAAAGGCGGGGGGATTTCTTAACCTTCACTCTGATCCAGGATGACAGGGTTCAAATAAAATTCAGCATTGTTGATAAGGACTGCTATGTCAATTAGAATTGTTTTTAGCTACGAGTCATAGAAAACTGGGCAATCAATGACAAACAGAGGAACGTTTTTCTCACCTAATAAATTGGTCAGAGATCTACCTGTCGGTAGAGTTGCTGTCATTGGTTTAGCAATCAATCATGCCAGCAACCCTCTGAGTCTTTCTACTCTGTTTCTCATCTTAATTGACTTTTGGTCATAGGATAGTTCCAAATATCATGTCCACATTTAAAACAGGGAGAAATCACATGGCTACCTTTAATTGCAGAGGAGACCAGGGAAGTCCTTAGCAGTTTACGTGTCCACAGGGGTTCTCTTAATAAGAAGGTGTGTTTACCACATCAAGTCTTATGTTTCTTATGGCTCTTATATTCTGTACATGATATTGACTAATCTCCACTACCAACATAATCCTTCTACTGTTTGAATTGTAGGAAACTAAATGTCTTATAATTGGAGCGTTAGAAAAGTATCCAATATATTTTAGTCTAGATAAGGAAATTGAGCCACTGTTAGAGGTGGTTTTCTGGAGGAGCTTCAGGAAAAGCCAAGAATCTCTTGAGTAACCATATTTGGAGTATTTTATTCAAATATTAGTAAGCTTGAAAAAATAAAGCAGATATTGCAAAGGATTTATATCTCTAATTTTAAAGAGATATACACATTAGATCTTACAGTAGTAATAAAAACTTTGCCCAATTAGTTTTGTTTTTTCATATAAAATTGTTTGTATAAACAATGATGCCCAATGCTGGTGAGATGCTCCTTTGGAACTGATGAGAGCACACACTTGGTGCACACGTTCTGCAAGGTTTGTAGAAAGTATAAAGTGCTTTAAAATATTAATCTACTTATCCTAAAATTTATCTCTAAGGAAGCATTTCTATAAAAAAAATAGAATTATGGACCAAGTATTCTACACAAGCATAAATATACTGAAATTCTTTTTTCATAAAAATATTTAGAAACAGAAATACTTTTTGGAGAATAATTGATTTAGGTATGAAGTCTTTATAACCTCAGTATAATATTTATTTTAAAATAAGAATACAAATTACTTATACCATATCATTTCCATTTGATAACATACAGATGTGTTTATTTACTTAAAGAAAATATGTCAGATACTATCAGTAGATATTTGTGGATTATGGGATTACATGTCACTTTTAAAAAATTCTTTTTGTCATTTTTATAATCTTTTGAACCACTTTATTTTATAAAATATGAAATAGGCCGGGCGCGGTGGCTCAAGCCTGTAATCCCAGCACTTTGGGAGGCCAAGGCAGGTGGATCACAAGGTCAATAGATCGAGACCATCCTGGTCAACATGGTGAAACCCCGTCTCTACTAAAAATACAAAACAATAGCTGGGCATGGTGGCACGTGCCTGTAATCCCAGCTACTGAGGAGGTTGAGGCAGGAGAATTGCCTGAACCCAGGAGGCAGAGGTTGCAGTGAGCCGAGACTGTGCCATTGCACTCCAGCCTGGGTAACAAGAGCAAAACTCCGTCTCAAAAATAAATAAATAAATAAATAAATAAATAAAAATGATTATTGTTGCTGAGATCCTTTTTAAAATGAAATAATGGATGAGAATATGCTTTGATCCACGAATCTGTACCAGGCTGTTTAGCACTTGAACATTTTATTGATGAAGTAGGAAAGGTGTTGCCGTGTTACTAAGCATTTTGTTCCTCTGGAGCTCTGGCACTGCTCAGTTCTGCCTCAGACGGAATGTTTGAAGGAAGCTGTCACAATAGTTCATTCTTCTGGATTCAGGCAAATCATGGTTGTTCTATTTTTCTCTTCCTCGAGAACTTTCTCTTCTTTTTTTCTGTGCCGTATAATGGAATGGAAGTCACTAAGGGTTGTAACTACATTCAGGAGAAGGAGGGAACCAGTTTAAGGGAAGAGTGTGTCTTACTTTATATGCAGATAACCAATGCTAAATTATTTAAAGGTTGGGGAGGTCATTATCTTAACACATAAGAATGCTTTTTGCTTAGAATGTGTAGAAAATGAGGCCTCAATATTCTCGAATAATTGCTAGTTGTCTCCCTTCCAAAGCTTATTGATGAAAATGAGTGTGTATGAGTGTAATGTGCAGGTATATAAATCCTTACTAAGTTTTCGTGTGTGTGTCTGTGTGTGTGTGTGTGTGTGTGTGTGTGTGTGTGTAGGAGGAGAAGGCAAGAAAGATAAGATGTTTATCTTCCTGACATTTCTCATCAGCTCCTGAGGTCTGACCTTCTATTGGGGCATCTGTGGCATGGCACATAAGGGGTTCAGATAGACTAGTTTTGATATTTGCTGATTGAAAATTAATGGTTTGAAGCCACATGCATTTAGAGCTGGACAATTCTTATGGATTCAATTTCAATTTTATGTTCATTTTTGCCAGGTACTTTCACATACATCTGAGACTCCTAAGCCGGGATGTATTTATCCCTAGGTTATACCACAGGAGCCAGAAGTTCGTTAAGGCTTCGGGATCTCTAGAAAGATTCAACATGTTTATTCCTTGACTTCCCCTCAGTCCATGGCATCGTGTTTAAGGAGAGGGAGCCATTCACGCGTGATTAGCTAGTAACATGGCCTTAGCACATGGAAGCAAGAGTTCATCCAAAAGTTCATTTTTGTTCATTTGTTTCTTTGCCTTTGTGTTGAAATTCATCTAAGAACGATTGCTTTAATTTTAACAATAGAGCCTTTAGGCAAGGCGAGGGTCAGGAATGGTAAGTTGCCACTATACAGAGAGTGAGATATGTGTTGGGGCCAACTCTAGGCCAAGACCCTCATGAACAAGCCTGTGGCTTACCAGGAAAGCGAGGGAACTCCTTTGTACTCCAGGTCCTTTGAACTCCAGGACCCTCATAGACAAGCATATGGCTTGCCAGGAAAGCAAGGGAACTCCTTTGTACTTTGGAATCTAGAAAGGCCTTTTTCCAAACAAAAGGAGCTTATATGATTTGAAGCAGAGTTTGTTTTGTTTTTCATTTTTCAGTCTTTTATACAGAATCAAAAAGAAGTGGTTGTTGACAAATTATGTCTTGGAATGGATAAAACAATGTGTTGATTTTCATTATGCCACATGGCTATTTAAAAGATAATCCCTCCCAAGAACTGTAGCTGCCTATGTGACACCTTTACTTGGGTGTTTAATAAACATCTTAAACTCAACTTGTTCAAAAGAGAACTTTCTTAATTACCGCCAGAGCCCACCAATCACCACTTCTCCAAGTTTTTTCTGTTTTAGAAGATGGTGTTCTCATCTGCCCAGCTTGGGCTGTAAGAGTTATCCTTGATTCTTTGCTTTCCATTTCCCCACAATCTATCAGCAATTCCTTTTGACTTTACCTCCAAAATATATCCTTAAATCACTGACTTCTCCCCATCACTGGTATTAACTTCCTGTTCAAATCGCCATCATTTCTTACCGGAACTATTGCACTGGTCTCCTAACCCATCTCTTTGTTCCCTCATGGTCTATTTTATACCAAGCAGCAAGAATCATATTTTAAAAATTAATTTGATTATGTCTTTCTTAAACTGAATTTCTAATCAGATCTGGTCATTCCTCTGTTTGAAGCCATCCATTAGTTTTCTATAGCAATAAGAATGAAATCTTTACCTTGTACCCTGGCTTACAAAGTCCTTTGGGTCCAGCCCTCACAACCTCTCTGACCTCAGTTCCTGCCACTCTCATTTTCATCCAGAGTTCTCCAGATCCCAGGTTCTTTAAAGAGGCCTCCCCATCAATCTGAGGACCATCCTTCTACCAGGAATGGGCTTTTCCTATCTTCCTGTGGCTGGCTTCTTCTAACATTTGGAGCAAGATGCTCTGATAAATGTTAACTCTCCTGATCACCTGATTACATAGATGCCCTCCCCATCCCTGCTCCTGCAAGGCATTATTTATAACGCAGCCCTTCTTACCCTATTTAGATGACCTCGATGGCACTTATAGCTATCTCTAGCACCAATGCCTACCTGAATTTAAGATCCCTGAGAGCAAGGCCTGCACCTGCTTTTTTACCTTTGTGTCACCAAGACCACAGAGGACGTCAGTGTTTGGTGTGGCACGAACCCCATCATCAGCTGCTTTTCATAACATGTGGAATCTAGCTTTCTCTCAACTTGGGAACCAATAGACATTTCTACCTGTTCCATTTTTATAGCAGACTAGACTTTATGAGTATAAAGTCTTTGGTGTTCTGGAGGATTGCTCACCAGCTTTACTGGCAGATGTCTATATGGACTTAAACTACAGAAAACAGTGGGACCAGTACGTTAAAGGTAAGTGATGCTTGCTTTTTTTTTTTTTTTAAATCATTAGAAAGTAGATCTATTCTGACTAGGTGCAGTGATTCATGCCTGTAATCCTAGCACTTCGGGAGGTTGAAGCAGGCAGATCACTTGAAGCCAGGAGTTTGAGACCAGCCTGACCAACATGGTGAAACCTTGTCTTTACTAAAAATACAAAACTTAGCTGGACACGGTGGCGCATGCCTGTAGTTCCAGCTGCTCAGGAGGCTGAGGCATTAAGAATTGCTTCAACCTGAGAGGTGGAGGTTGCTGTGAGCCAAGACTGCACTTCAGCCTGGGCAACAGAGGGAAACAGAGGGAGACTCTGTCTCCAAAAAAAAAAAAAAAAAAAAAAGATAATCTGGTTTTATTTATTTTCGCCAGTAGAAAAAATAAATTTAATTTCTACTATCTAGTGCTTCCTATTATATTAAATTTTGGCACAAAAGCACTTCAAATGTGGGACTGAAATGTACTTTTGCTCCCACACAGACTTGCTCATTATATAGTCTGAAATCCTCCTCACAGTTCGCTCTTGGGACTCCTTTGCCCCAAGAACAAACTTTTAAGTTGTGTGATCATCCCATGTATCTAGGTTGTCATGAAAAGTTTCTTGGAGGAGGTGGGGTCCAAATTTTGGTTTGAGAGTTGAATCAAAATTTTCCAAACAGGTAAGGATACATGTATGTGAGGTGAAGAAAGTTGAGGGGATGACTGGTTAAGGACGTTCTAAGCCCAGGGATCAGCATTAGTAAAGTCAGGACAGCAGGAAGCAATACGTTCAATGACCACCAGCAGTTTGCTGGTATTGGGTTGGCTGGAGCAAAAGAACCTATTCTAGGTCTTCTACTACTGTTTGTATTAGTTCTACTACTACTACTGATAGTACTAGTGCTGCTAGTACTCGTAAAACTAGCTAATAGAACTAGTACTAGCAGTACTCAAAGAGCTAGAATAGGTTCTTCTACTACTACGTGAACTAGGGCAGATATTGCGTTGAGATCTCCCAGGGCCTAGCATGGCAACCAGGCTCTGGGTCTTCCATTTTGCCCTTTGAGTGATACAGTTACGAAAGACGTTACACAGGGAATTCTCTCGCCACTTAGAGCTGGAGTAGTCTCTGCCAACCCAGTCACAGTGGAATGGAACTCTGGAACTAGACAAAGGCACATAAAGCCTTTAGTCGAGACTCTTGGTTGCAAGTAACAGAAAGCCAACTAAGGAACGTGTGGGAAGAGGAAAAGGAGTTTGTCAGTTCATGGCATTGAAGACAGTCCAGGGGCTTCTAGCTTTGAGGGCAGCTGCAACAGGGAGCTTAAATGATTTCATCAGGATTGTTTCTTTCTCCATCTCTAAACTCTGTATTCTTCTGTGTTAACCTAATTTCTATGCAGATTCTTAATGTCATGGCCAAGATGTCCACCAGAAGATCCAGGCTTATATTCTAACCATACAAATAACCCCAGAGGAAATCTCTTTCTACTTTTCTAGGGATGGCAGCCAGATGCTAGGATTGACTCTTGTCAGCTCAGCTTGGACTCTGTGCTTATTTTCTGTGGACATTCATCATGGTTTTGGGTAACTTAGTATTTTCAAATATGCTTCCTATTTAGGGGGCAGTGGGATGCTTACCTATCCAAGGGAACAGCCAGACACTGTCTTTCCAGCTCTCCCTTGCAGCCAAGATACAGTCATGTGACATAGACTCTGCCAGTAAGACCCACATGTGGCTTCAGTTTGGAAAAGAGCAATACGAGGAAGCAGGCAGCATGGAAGATCTATTTTTCAGTGACCAGTGAAGGCATCTGACTTTAGGCAAAACAATTGCTGAGCCTCTGCTGTTTGCTCCCCAACATTGACATCTTTCACTCTGGGTTCTGATCCAGTGAAAGCAGCAGTTAGGCTTTGCTGGAACAATCTTGAGGTTGCAGGTCTCACTCTGGTTCATCTGAGAGCTTTACTAAATCACTTTTTGCTCTCAACTTGCTAGAGTGACAAATGACGACTCTGCTCAGATCTGCCATCCCTGAATTAGTCGCCATGGCTGTGTCTTGTTCATTTTCCCAGCCCTGAAATTACTCCATTCAGTCTTGCTGAAACCAAGTAGCTGAGAAGTAGGGAAAGGGTGATGCCCTGAAGGAAACGAGATGCCCAAGGGGGAATCAATGCTGAGCATGCAAAAGCAACAGATGCCCACTTCTCCCTTTCATTTAAGGGCTGTCATCATCCTCCTGTGACATTACTTGGTTGGCAAGCTCCTTAATCTACAGTCTATTTCTAATAGATTTTCTCTCAAAAGCTAAATTATCCCTCCTTAGCATCTCCTCAAGGGACTGTGGGCTCCTTCTCTAACTGGAGGTACAAAGCTTACTGCAACAGCCTGGGGACAGAGAGTAGTGTGTGTGTCATTAAATTTCTTTGCTATCTCCCTCCAAGAATTGGCTGCTGTTTGCACATAATAGTAAGATGGAAGGAATAATAGGGAGATTTGGCCACCCTAGCTGTGGCATAGAATATAGAAATGTGGGAGACAAGAAAGAAACTTGGGGTAAGCCACAGTTCTGCTGCTCTCTAACTATTTAGGAAGGATGTTGCCCATTCTGGAACCTTCATTTCCCACCTATGAATGTGCTGGACTGGGTGACTCAGTTCCAGGCTAGCTGTAATGGGTCAAGGAATCCTAAAGGGAAATAAAAGGGCTCAGAAGCAAAACTATTGGTACTCTAGTGACATCTGGTGGCTATCCTGATTTTAAAACCTCTGACTTTTTCGATGTCTGATTTTCATTGTGTTCTATCAAGAATATTGTTTATGCCATACAGTAGACAAGATTTGTTGGCCTCTGTTATTTGTGCTGTATTTTTCTATCCACTGGACTCTGTCCCTGGGCAATAGGCTTTCAGTGGAATTAATTGGTTTGATATTTTTCTAGAATTCTATACCTTATGAGTTAGTGGTTTAATCATACCCTAAAAAGTCATCTTTTTTGTGGCCGGGTGCAGTGGCTCATGCCTGTAATCCCAGCGCTTTGGGAAGCCTAGGCAGGTGGATCACGAGGTCAAGAGATCGAGACCATCCTGGTCAACATGGTGAAACCCCGTCTCTACTAAAAATACAAAAAATTAGCTGGGCAGGGTGGCGCGTGCCTGTAATCCTAGCTACTCAGGAGGCTGAAGCAGGAGAATTGCCTGAACCTAGGAGGTAGAGATTGAGGTGAGCCGAGATCGCACCATTGCGCTCCAGCCTGGGTAACAGGAGCAAAAAAAAGCTCCGTCTCAAAAAAAAAAAAAAAAAAAAGTCATCTTTTTTTTTCTTGCGATGTGGTGTCACTCTGTCACCCAGGGTGGAGTGCAGTGGTGCACTCATGGCTTGGATCACTGCAGCCTTGACCTCCCAGGCTTAGATGGTCCTCCTACCTTAGCCTTCAGAGTAGCTGGGACTGCAGGCGTGCACCACCTGGCATACCTGGCTGATTTGTTTTGTATTTTTTGTATAGATAGGGTTTCACCATATTGCCCAGGCTGGTCTTGAACTCCTGGACTCAAGTGATCCACTTGCCTTGGCCTCGAAAAGTGCTGGGATTATAGGCATGAGCCACCGTGCTTGGTCTAAGAGGTCATCTTATTAGTTGTAGCTAAAAAGGCTTCCAGATGCATTAACTTCTGTTGCTTTCCTTTAGAACTCTATGAACAAGAATGCAACGGAGAGACTGTAGTCTACTGGGAAGTGAAGTACCCTTTTCCCATGTCCAACAGAGATGTATCCTTTCCACAAGGTACTAATTCCCCGGCCCTCTAAGTGTTTCTGTGTTCCTCAGCTGTAGTCTATTGCAGAGATGTAGAGCTGGTTTCTCAGCAGGCATGGATAACATTTTCTCTGATTCTTGCAGTATTTGCTAAAGATGTTGCTTCTTGTGTGGTGTTTGGAGATCTCAGAGTGTGATTTCTGAGCCCGACCACATGGAGTGTCTATAATTACAGTCACTGGAGAGCAGCTCGTACTTTCCTAAGAAGTTTCCTTAGGCCTTGAAATTGTCGGGTCACAGAATTGGGGACCTGAAAGGAACTTTTTATAAAGAGTGCTTGATACAGTTCCCTCAGCGTACAGAGGAGAAAGGGGCTCCCAGAGAGGTGAGATGACAGAGGCACACAGGTGGTTAGTGGCAAGGTGGGTACTGAACTGAGGCCTCTGCATTTCTAACTCTGTCCACCACCCCTATCTCGACTGACCCCAAGCAATCCTTCCTGGATTGTTGGCTCTGGGTATGGACTCTAAGTTTCTTCCCCTCAATATCCTTGTTTATGAAATGAAAGAGTTGAATGAAATGCAGGGAGGCTTGGCTGGCACTATAAGGTTTTCAGAACCCCCTTAGGACTAAGTTTGGGGGCTAGGATGGAATTTTGGGGGGTGAATAGGACGGAGGTAGGATAACTCCTAGGTAAGATTTTGACTCCTTCACCATCCTCTTCCATCCTAGCAGCCAGGTGTTTCACAGATTCAGTTTCCAGGTAAGATCCTTTTAGCAAAGGATCTCATGGAGTACAAAAAAAAAAAAAAAGTTTGGAAGCCACTGAATCAGATGAACTGTCAGTGCTTCAAAGGCGTTCTGCTAAATTTTAATCACTATATCAAGGTAATTCTTTCTCAGTGGAGTATCAAGTGATATCTTTCACATAAGCTGAGAAAGTTGGGGGAGAGAGTGGGACAGTATTTGTTGCAAGGAAAAAGTACAAGTTTAGGAGAAAGGAAACCAGAGCCAAAGCAATGTCATCTCTTTCCTGAAACATTTAAGAACTTTACTCATCAGTTGATAAGAGTATGGAGCGATAGACTGCCCAGCGTGAGGGTGGGCAACAGTGGGTGCTGTCAAGACACTGAGGCAGGGCTGGGCGTGGTGGCTTACGTCTGTAATCCCAGCACTTTGGGAGGCTGAAGTGGGCAGATCACTTGGTATCAGAGCTCCAGATCAGCCTGGCCAACATGGAGAAACCCCGTCTCTTCTAAAAATACAAAAAAAAAAAAAAAAAAAAAAATTAGCTGGGTATGGTGAGCACCTGTAATTCCAGCTACTCCAGAGGCTGAGGTGGGAGGATAGCTTGAACCTGGGAGGCAGAGGTTGCAGTGAGCCGAGATCGTGTCACTGCACTCCAGCTTGGGTGACAGAGCAAAACTCCGTCTCAAAAAAAAAAAAAAAAAAGACACTGAGGTGGGTGTGGGCTTAGACGGTTGCTGGGTTATAGTAATTGTGTTGTGCATAGTGGATTTTGATTATTTTAGGCTTTTGATTCCTTTGAGTGCAAAACCCAAAATTCTGTTGTATGAAAGTGTAACTAACAAACTAAATATCTGAGCTCTGTCCGGCTATGAACTTCTAAGTTTTGGAGCCAGATCTGGGATAAAAATTCAGGTTGCATCACTTCAGCTGGGATGTGGCATTTTTGGCAAGGTTTTTTACCTCTCTGAACCTCACTTTTGTCATCTGTAGAATGGGAATACTCATACCAAACTCAGAGGGTCTGTGTAAGGATTGAAATTTAAGCTATATGTCAAGTGCATGATGTTACGTGATAAGGGTTTGATAAGTAGTGATTCCTGTTGTTTCATAGACATTCATTATTCTTCCTAGAATAGTGTTGTAGACTTAAGGGTTCTTCTGTCAAGGTTGATGGACATGAAATGGCTTTGTTATTCCTGGTGAACTAGTGTTAGCCCAGAAAGGACGTATGCCTACAAAGTATTCAGTTAGTCCCATGTCTTCCTATGGTCATTAGTTGTGACACTGCTTGACCATTTTCTAGGCATAGAGATCAACAACTAGGGCACTGTGTGAGGCCAGAACCAAGAGGAATGGCACCATTGTCTACTGAGTGCTTATTCTGCCTGAGTCTTTCTCTAATACCCCCACCAAGACTGTCTGGAAGGCATTGTTACTCCCTTTCCTACACAGGGGATCTGAGTCTCAGCAAGGCTGCATAGGCAATCTTGGATCACACAGCTGTTAAGTGACCATTCCTCTGTCATCTAGCGCTTTCTTGGAGAAAGGAAAAGTGGTTTCCTCACATAATTAAGAGCATGAAGGGATGACTCACAGGGAAGAAATGCATGCTCTCTGGTGAGAACACTAGGTGGTGTGAGGCACCGTCTTGCAGGGCAGGTAGGGAGACAGGGCAGGTAAGTAAACTCGCAGTAGAAGGGAGCAAATGCCATGTGGGAGGCACAGAATCACCTCCTTTTGCTTCCAGCTTGTGACACTTTTCTTCTGTCTGTCTACGATGCTGGTATTGGTGTCTTACCTTGACTGGCCACCCAGTATGTCTACCTCCGACAGCGGCGAGATCTGGATGTGGAAGGGCGGAAGATCCATGTGATCCTGGCCCAGAGCACCTCTGTGCCTCAGCTTGGCGAGAGGTCTGGGGTGATCCGGGTGAAGCAATACAAGCAGAGCCTGGCAATTGAGAGTGACGGCAAGAAAGGGAGCAAAGGTAAAACCCATGGTGCCTGTCAGTGCACCCAGCCAGGGGTTCCCACGGGAGGGCCAGGCTGATGGAAAGGCATGTCAAGTACGTGAAACATATCCCTGAAGGTCAGAGGACAGGCACAGGTGCAGAGCAGGCCAGGATCGGCACCTAGAGAGAGCCTCATTCCACCCCGACAGACCTGAGTAGAGCATGAGGATGATGATTAACTCTGACCCACTCTATTTTCTCCAGACGGCATTGTCCAGATGAAACCAGACCACTAAAAGTAAACCAGAGAGTTTACATACTCACTTCCAGCTGGTCCTGTGGATGCATACGCTGGGCCTAAGGCTAGGCAAGGAGGCTGGCAGGTCTGTCTTGGAAGCCTCAGTTCCGGATTAGTACAAACTCAGAGACTCAAGACCTGCCCAGCTCGAGTTCCAGTTCCCACGGAGGAGAGCTGCAGAGAGTGGGGCGTGAGGCTACCTGCTCTACCAGAATGAGTGTGGCCTTGCGTCCTAGGCAGGAATCTGAACTATAGTTAGATGGTCACCTTGAATATGTCACCTAATTTTTATGAGTCTCTGTTTCATCATTTATAAAATGGGATTAATTTTACCATCTCCTTAGGCTTGCTAGGGTAATTGCATGAGAGGCCATATCCACGTGTCCAGCACTTGCCTGGTATTTAATAAATAGCAGCAAATAGTGCCTGTGGCTCTGTTTTCAAAAGTGCCTATATTTAAGTATGCCGTAAGGGAAGTCCCTGGAGAGAAGTCCATCTGAATTATATGCTACCTCCCTCTGCAGTTCCTGAGCTCGAACATGAAGATGTAGAGTTTGCACAGTTTTGTTGCTATATTTTTCTGTCTTTTTTTTTTTCATTTTTCTGAATTGTCCTTTCTTTCCCTCTCTAGTTTTCATGTATTACTTCGATAACCCGGGTGGCCAAATTCCGTCCTGGCTCATTAACTGGGCTGCCAAGGTGAGATCCCAGGAGGTGGGGCGGGGGGTGGGGAGTGTGTTTGACAAATGTTGACTTAGCCCACGGGGCTGTCAGGCTGAAGAGACACATTGTCTCAGGCGTAATGAGGCTCTTTTATGAAGAGTTTGGTTGAGTGACTCTGGTTGGGGCTGGGGTTGCCCACATCCAAGACGGAGACCAGGACAAAAGACAAAGAATTGTCAGCTTGGAATGCCAGCCTCTCCCTGCTTGTGCCCCAAGACCCCACCAGAATCACTCTCTGGAACCTCCGGACAATAGTGTGCTCCGAGAAGGGACAATAGTGCCTTTGGAGCCTATATTCCTCTGCTTATGGGAGAATAAGACTGACCTGGCTTGGAGACAACCAGATGTGTCCAAGCCGTTGTTGTTGCTTTTTTTTTTTTTTTTTTTTTTTTTTTTTTTTTTTTTTTTCCTGTAAGGGAGGGAACTGTAGTGATAGCTTGTATCACTAAAGCCCGCCCAGGAGCCTGGCATTATGGGGACCGTCAGCCTGCTTTGTACAACATCTACCTACTAGGGAGCTCAGCAGATTCCTTGGGAGAGTGAAAAAGCATCAACTTTGGAGTCAAACAGATGCAATTTTGAATCCTGGCTCTCCACTGACTGTCCTGCTTTATTTAAGGAAGCCACACATTTCTTCCTTTCTAAAAATGCAGATAGATGTCTTCTACTGCTTAGAGGAGGAGTAAATAAGACAATATTTAGGAAAAGTTTTGTCCAATGCTCAACATTAACTAAATAATGATATATCCTACTCCTTGGTCCCCAGTCCTTACAGTTTTCTAATTCCGTAAAGCAAGACCTTTCTCTCAGCTCTTTGGAGGAATGCAACGACCCAGCCCAACCTCATTGCTTGTGTTTTCTTTCTCTCTTTCTCCCTCTCTGTCTCTCTCTTTCTCTTTCTTTGTTTCTCTCTCTCTCTCCTTCTTTCTTTCTCTTTCTTTCCATCTTTCTTTCTTTCTCTCTTTCTTTGAAAAACACTCTTTCAGAAACATCTTTGCTTCTTTCTAGAAAAAGCGAACATAGAAGGCAATGCCTTGCAAGAGAAGGTCCTGTGGACTGGTCTTACTTCTGTCCTGGGTCTTACTTTTTGTCGTAACTTGTGACAACATTCTGTTGCAATCCAGTAAGGGAGCCTATTTATTTTTATTAGTCTTGAAGCCAACATTGTTTATCTTCTACCACATCCCAAGGAATCAAGAGTGACCACTGTGAAGACATAGAAATGACAGTCTCATTTCCCTTGCAGAATGGAGTTCCTAACTTCTTGAAAGACATGGCAAGAGCCTGTCAGAACTACCTCAAGAAAACCTAAGAAAGAGAATTGGGAACGTTGCATCCATGGGATGATGTCTCCGGAGGGGCCAGCACCCACTGCTGCTCAGCCTTCCTCTCATGTTTCCGTCTTCAGAGGCTTACACACTCTACTATGTCCTTCCTAAGCATGTTCGCCTGACAGGCAGCCCACTCGCCTGCGTCCCTTCTCACTGTCCGCATCCTGGGGTGGGCTGCCTTCTTCTATAATTCAATATGGGGCAGATTAGGGAAACCTTTGCTTGCTTACAGTTAGGAAGAGAAGTCTTCAGTAGGGAACACAATCATTCCATTGTGCCATTTTATGGGGATGGGTGGGCAGAGGGACACAAAAAATATAAGAATGACTATTTGGGAAGGTTGGCTCCTTTGCAGAATGTGATTTCTTCCAACTCCGGAGGGGCTGCTGGAAGTGGTGTTCCGTTCAGAGCTGACTTTCAGTGCACCCACACTGGATGGCATGTGCCCATGGCCTTATGCTTTGTGGAGCTGGTTAGGCTGGGATTTGAGGTGATAATCCAGTAAGTCCTTCCTTGTTCCTACTTGTGGAGGATCAGTAGCTGTTATGATGCCAGACCTTTTGGAGAAGTATCACAGGCCTGACTGGACACATAATGTGACAACCACTTTTTCCTTATCACCCATGTCTTTTTTTTCCTCTCTCTCTCTCTTCCATATGTCACTGGGGAAAGGCTGCCTATACCTCTCAAGCTTTGCATTTTACTGGAAACTGAGGCATCAAGGTGGCTGTGGCAGCTAGCAAAAGCAAAGATGCTTTGTGCATAGCCTTGTGAAAAAGTGTCTTCTATGTAATAAGATGAATTTTCCTTCTAGAATATTTAGAAATGTAGAAAGGGTAACAGTTCACAGCCAGGTAACATTTAATCGGTGGCTTAATGACTCTGCACCTTTTTCTCAGGAATTCTGCCTAAGTCGTCTGCCTTTTCTACCACCAGAAAGACTTTTAGTTTTCTATGTTTTCTCCTGAATTTTGGTAGGATAAGAAATTTTAGAGTCAAAGGCACAGACTTGATGTCCTCAGGGAAAAATTTTAATCACTGTGTGTCATGACACTGAACCTTGATTAATAACAGAGAAATTCAGGATTTAAAGCCATAGAAACGGATTTATTAACCTGGGATACCTCAGACTGTTTTCTCTCTGGGAAGAAAAGCGTGAATAAATAAATACATATATATATGAATAAATACAGAGTGGTTGTTACTTGTCCTGTGTACTGCTTCCTTCCTGCCTTCTCCCTTTTGTGATAATGCATCAGTTAGATGTCCTTTATTTGCCAATTATATTCAGCCTAACTTGTAGAGTTGAACATAAAACATAATTCTGGGCTTACTTATATGCAAGGTCAGATGTAGGTAGCTACAGGTAGGGACCAATACAGGTGCTCAAACTGAGATTAGAGTTCAGATCTTTGAGGTATCTTTGGTATTGGTCTGCATTTGCTGGTAGGATTGCCGCTAACAACAATAGGTAGGTTGGCATCTTCCTAGGCTCATGCCAAGCAAAACAAAAAAGACAATGTTTCTTTCTCGTAGAACCTGCACTATTCCATAACTTAGAGTCCCACTAAACCATATGCTTATCTATGCCCTGCTCATTACAGTCATCTGGATAGAGTTTTACAAGTAAGTGAATGCCTCATAACATTATCATTAAAATATCATTATCAGTAATGTTGCTGGAATCTAGTCCAGATAAACTAAATCTGAATGCCTCATGTTACAGAATTCAAGTTGAAATCTTATGTATAGATTCTTTGGACTAAAAGCACTGAGATTATAGTCATTGAAAGAGAGCTGGCATGAAAGGGTGTCATGTAAACCATTTCTTTAAATAACGTTAAATAATGTGCTAAGAACTCTGAAAATACTAAGAATGTTGAGTTTCTAGGTAAGGCACTTATTTGAACAGGTCACAGTGTTTGCTGTTTGCTCTAATTAAATAGTTATGACTTGTGGCATTTTTACTTGCTAATTTGGAGTAGTGGACAGTCCTCACCAGCATGAATTACGAGGTTATACAGGACACAGAACTCTTGACTTATAATAAGTGCCAAAGGCAAAAAAAGAAAAAAAATGGAAAACGGATGGTTTAGGGCTTTACTTAGGGACCTGCACCTGAGTTTTCAGGGTATGTTTTTCTGCAATAGCAGCTAGATGTATCACTTGGAATTCATAAGTTATATTGTCATTCCTCTAGCCTCTTGTTTTGCTTATTTTTCCCATACCTGTCTCTCCAATCAGATGATAAGCATTTTGTGAATAGAAACAATTATTTCACATTGATTATTGGTCCTTGGGGTAGAATATAATAGGCACTCAAATGGTGACTAAATGAGTGAATAAATGATTTAGAGAAGATTGACCAAATGGCATGAACCTGGAAGACTAAATCCACCCAGACTTAGAGGCTCGATCCCCATGGATTCAAGCCACATTATTCCCCAAGTCAGCACTTTACAAGGTTGGGGGTGGGGGTGGGGGTTCTAGATTTCCCAGGTTCCCATTGGTCCTTCCTTGAAAGTACTAATGTCCTCTCTCTGTTAAGGGGTGGCTTTGCTGGTGTGGCTATGGGTTATATTTTCATGTTACAGAAATTGGCACAGTCTGAACCGAGTCTGGCTGAGATTAGTCAGGATTCCAGTTGAAATTTAATGGCAAAAGTAGCACTACTGTTGGAGCTAAATTTTTTCCACAGGCAAATTATTCACACCGCATAACAATTCAAAGTTAATGACCACCTTGGAACAGGAGGAGTTCCAGCAGAGGGTCACTTCCCTTGAAAATGTTCCTATTTCACAGCGAGGGGCCTGGCCTGACTCTCTGGCTGAGATTCCTCACCCAGAATCCCCATCTATAATGCCTGCCCTTCCAACCTCCCACTTCCTAGCTGGACTTGCAAGAGATGAGGCAGGAAGAGCCCCATTCAGTTCTCACATTTCTAGTAGCACCACCCAGTCAGCTCAGCAAATTATCTTTAAATGCATCGAGACAATTAGTTCTTTAACAGATATTTCTCAAGAGGCTGGAGTCCATCGGCGTTGGGATAGGCATGGCAGTTTGTGGGATGAATGAGAGGAAAATGGTGCCTGCCCCTAAGGAGCTTATGGTCTAATGAAAACCCAGTGAACAAGCTGCTGAAGGATGATAAGTGCTCAGAAAAGGAAAACAAAGGGTGCCGTTAAAAAAAAAAAAAAGGCACTAACCAAGTTTGAGAAGCAGAGGAGAATGTGTCGGAATTGGCTGGGTGAAGGTTGCAGAAGAAAGCTGTTCATGACAGAGCCATTTGCACAGAATCTCTGGAGAGGAAGGAATCAGCAGGTGAGTCCATCACATCTGAAAAGAACAAAAGGCCGGTGTGGCTGGAGCACTGCCATGAAGGAGAAGCATCTTGTATGTGGCTGGAGAAGTAGACAGTGAAGCCATTGGAGAGTCCTGAGAACAATGGCAAGGATTTGGGACTTTATCCCAAGAGTCCCAATAAGCTTTGAAAGATTTTAGATTGTGGAGTGAGCTGAAAATACGTATTATTCTTAACACCACTCATTTTTCTCCATGATTCCCCAGCATCTCTGACAGCCTCTCCTGTAGCACCACATGGGGCTATCCAAGGTACCCTAAGCCTTATTACTTTGAATCCTCTCCAGTGTCAGGCAGCATGCACAGTAGCCCATACTTAAATCAAGTTTCCGAAGCGGAACACCAGCTGCTGAAGTTTAACTGAAAAACAAAAGGCTAGAGGGAGGGGCCCACCTATGCACATCACCTCTTTCTCTCCTGGCCCGTGCTGGGGTACAGCATACCCTCCCACACATCTGCATTATGCAACCCCTCAGAGCAGAGCCATTTAAGGGGCCAGAAGTAGGAGAGAAAAAAAGAAAGGCATAAAAAATGTAGGCAGGTCCACTTTCCCCATCTTCCTTTTTTTAAGTATTCATCTTTAAGTACAAGTAAGAACTTTTTTGTTTGCTTGAGAAGACAGAAGCATAACAGATTGTTTAGGTTGCAGAGTTTAGAACCAACAAAATGGAGGACTTCAGCAAAATTATTTACATCGCTTATGTATTTACATATGTTTGCATCTATGTGTGTCTCTTTGGATGCACATAATAGATGCTGCATTTCATAAGATATAATAATGGAACAACGAAACAGTGCACTATGTAAGTGACTTTCTAAGTAAGTTTTCTGTATGATATGCCAGGCCCATTGCCAGGCAGTGGAGCACATAAAGGTCGATGCGCTAATTTTAGAATTAGTAGACAATAGATTCTGGAGGACAATGAGCAGTTTGCTACAAGCTCTTAAAGTATTACATTTTCCTTCCATCTGATGGTGGTCACATCCTTTCTCATAAACACTTGTGCAACACTCCATGTCCTCTGCAGACTGCTATAATTCCTGAATGGAAGAATCTGCCCCACATTTATGTATTCCACTGCTTAGCAATGGACCTGGCACATCATGTAGAAAACTTGGAAAGTCAGGCACATAGCATACTGCTTAGTTGTTGTGTTATTATAGCTTATGATTCCAAAGTCAGTGCGTTTCAGTTGAGTGCATAGCCACCAGCCACCCCTGCAGTACAGTGTGGCCATGGGACTTAATTCTGGCCAGTATCATGTGAGCATAAATAATATGTGCCACTTCTAGCTCAGGATCTTAAAAGGAAAAGGTATGAACTCAGCTTGTTCTTTCCCTCTTCACCATGTCTGGGAAATGATGCACACGGGAACAAATGCCTTGGAATCAAGGATGAAAGCCTAAGATTAAGGATGACAAAATAACCCTGCCTCCCTTGGACTGTTGCAGGAGACAGAAATAGACTTTTTTCTTATTTAAGCGATGACATTTTAAAAAAACACACAGCACCTTTGCCTATACCAACTCATGAATATCTCAAAGAGAGTGTCCCTTTGGAACAGGAGATCAGGAACCAGCTCAAATGCCTCCTCATCTATAGATCTTGGATCTCCTGGCCTGTCCCAAACACTTAATAAGTGGTCAGCAAATCTCTGACTTGTTCCAGTTTCATTTAATGTGGTCAATAAATGTTGGCTGTTATTAGCTGTTACTCCATCTCTATCTGCCTCCCACTCTCTTGCCCCATGCTTTGCCTCAGGCTATTCTTTTTGTCTGTGTAGAAAATCTTCCCCAAGTTTTGTGAAATTTCTGTCCAAATTGAAGGCTTACATAGTGCTAAATAAATAAATCCAGCAACTTCAGACTGGAGCAATTCCCACTTCTATTAATCACCTTTGAAAGATGCTATATTAGCCCAGGTTCTCCGAAGAAACAAAACCATCAGAATATACCTTATCACGCACCACACCATGATGTCGACAGCAGACTGCACTCCAGTTCATACCACCAACTGAAAACAAACAAAATAAAACACCCCAACAATATGTATGGCAGTAGTCCCATAAAATTATAATCCTAATTTTTACTTTACCTTTTTTGTATACACAAATATGTACCATTGTGTTTGAATTGAATTGCCTACTGAATACCGTAGGCAATTAAAAGATGTTGTGTAGCTTTGTAGCTTAGGAAAACAGGCTACACCATATAGCCTATTTGTAGTAGGCTGTACCATCTGGGTTTGTGTAAGTATACATTATGATGTTTTCACAATGACAGAATCACCTGACACATTTCTCAGAATGTGTCTCTGTTAAATAGCACGTGTGTGTGTGTGCACGTAATTATGGAATTGGCTCATACAATTATAGAAGCTGAAAATTTCAGCCCCAAAATCTGCAGTTGGTAAGCAGGAGACTGAGGAGCCCTCATGGTGTGGTTCCAGTCCCAAAGCTGGCAAGCTGGAAACTCAAATAAATGATGTTTCAGTTCAAGTCTGAAGGCCAGAAACACCAATATCTCAGCTCAAGACACTCAGGCAGGAGGCATTCCCCCTTCCTTAGAAGACGGCCGTCAGCCTTTTTGTTCTATTCAGGCTTTCAGGTGATTGGATGAGAACTTCCTACATTAGGGAGAGCCACCGACTACTCAATTAAAATATAAATCTTGTCCTTAAACACCCCTACAGTCACACTCAGGATAATGTTTTACCAAATATCTGGACAGCCCATAGCCTAGTCACGTTGTCACATAAAATTAAACATTATTCTTGGTGAGAGCTCAGTGTTCTCAGATAAGGAAAAAAATTCAGCATTATGAAGCTCTTATTGTGTGCTAAGC